TGACAGCTCTTCTTATTGTGTTTTTCCTTGGAGATTCCAGACGGGGCGTAATTAGACGGTGAAACAGCCAGAAATCACCGTTATAACACTCTTTATCCGTAAGACGGCTTTTAATTCGGTTGCCTTGGCGGTTGTGTGGTCATAGTCTCCTCTATGTGTAGCTCCTGATACCGCATTGCGTAGTCGTAGGTTGGGGTGCGAATTTTAGACTTGGCCTAACGAGGCCTTTTACCACCGGAGCTCCAAGGCAGAAAGAAACTGTACATGCCCCGTATTGCAATCAAAAGGAATTGGTAATTACTATACCAATGCGCTTTACGTCGTCAGGGGCTTCGGACAATGGTTGACAGGCCCACATTGATACCATTAGTGAACTTGTTTTTCCAAGCTGTGTCTGATATGGGTAACTATGCCCGATACTATTACCATACGGCATGTAGCATTCATCTACAAGCCTTTAGCAGTCCATGTTTCCCGATGTTTAGGTCGAGTTTATGAAGATCTTGCATTCTTTGTGCCTAGCTCCTAGCGCCTTTAAGATCCACTTCATGCTTAGGGTGGACCAATCGCCACGGTTTCATGTTGCTCAAACTGACTGTAAGATGTTTTAAAGTCACATGGAGCAATTATGCCGGTATTTTAGGTTTGAATGCTTTCCAAGCAGGTATCTGAAGCCTAGGAACTGGCGTGTTCGGTCCAAGAAAGAACACAATTCGTTCGAGCTTCCAAAACTGTGATAGTATGGTTATCGGTTAGTGAAGCGACTAATCCACCTGGTTGTATATTTTCTACATCTCCGAAATGCCTGATATATATCCCCAAGATCCAAACTTTAGGCCACACCAAGGTTAGTTTGCAGTTATAAACCAACCAGTTCGAGGAAAAAGCCAATACGAAAATACGTATGTTTTTTTAATATCATTGACAGCGGACGGAGTATTTCGAAAGCTGGGCAAGATTATTCAGTATCCGCCGCCTAGGAATATTTGCAAACATAAGTTCGAACGCGTTCAGAAGCAATTTGGTGTTAATCTTTTGTGCTTCCAATTTATTTGAAGGTAACGTTGCCTGGTCTATCCCGATCACACGAAAAATATGCCAACCTCTGTCTAAAAATTAAAAAGTATTGTCACCTGTATTTGAGCAATCAGCAAAATTAGCCGCAATTACCTATCATACTCTCCAATATCCTTGTCGGTAGGAGTAAATTATTATGCCGCCTGAAGACAAAAATAAGTTATGCTATTTCATTTATTTCTGTTTCACATTTATCCACACACGAATTCTTTACACCTGTACTACTGTTTTAGCCGTTTGTAAGTTCGACAGCGGAAAGATTCACCTTTACGGAGATCGCTTGGGTTCTTACGATTACGCGGTAAAACACGTGGACTACTTTTCCACAGTAAGTAATTCGGAATTTCCAATACACGTCCGCCTTGCCATTTGGGTACGACTGCCTCTTCCGGTCTTTGTGAACTTGTTTTTGTCTTGATGCAGTGATATTCACACACGGAAGTTGACTGGCTTTGCGGTAGTTGCTCAACTTTAGCGCAGATCACACGGCCTACCATTGTTATCGTCTGCGCACCCTAGGCGGCAAACAGCATAATCCCAAGATATTTCAGTCATTTCAAGATGCCGCCTGCTGAATGCGCTTCTTATCATTCGCCTGTAAAAACTACACTGTGTACAAAAGTGTAGCTAACAAGAATGGTTTTTTACCGTTGATTTTATCTAATTTTATAAACTCAAGTTTATTATTATAGAAAGCGTGTGCAGGAATATCCTTTCTTTCACGCATTTGTAGTAAATGATATCTTCTTCAAACTACAGGGTGTCCCAAAAATGTATGCATGATTGTAAAATTAGTTTTTGTTATAAAAAATATGTAAAAATATTTACAGGTATCATTTTGTTGTTATTTTCATTGCATGTGCTCAAACTGACGTCTATTTTGATCAGGACATTCCTTACAACGCGAAGCAATGAAATCGCAGATACCATGAAACAATTCTCTTGGTTTTTTGAGTGTTATTATGTTCAGTGGCTTCTCTCAAGTCAGCCACTGTTGCAATAGTCTAAATGCAGTAGAAAAACAGTAAAATGATACTTGTAAATATTTTTACAGTTTTGAAACAATAATATTATAAAAAACACCAAGTTTACAACGATTTAAAATGTGTTAACATTTTTTGGGATAACCTGTACATGCTGTGGGAAAGGGTAACTTCCAGCATACTGCAGTCTGCTACTGCCCTCTGCTTACGTCTCTGATGATGAATCCACGACGGATCTCGAAACATCAGGCGAATAAAAGTATTTTCCTAGCAATCGATTCATCTCATATTCAATTTCATATTGGTGCATATGCGCTCATCGATCGGCTACTGGACTACTCATCTGTTTCTGTCTGGGGGCACACTCTCCAGTCCGCCAGCAGCCACACAGCTGCTCATAGTACAGACAGGAGAACATTACCGACAAGCGAGATTAGAGCCTTGGCTGAGGCAAATTATTCACAAGTTTGAGGCATTTCCTAAAATCGAAGATATCCTTCCGTTAATGATAGACTTTGGTCGTGCACTTTTGTTATGACCCGCGCCTAGTACTTGTAATTAGCACGAACTCTGAGCGGGCCCGCCGTTGCCCCGAACGCCCCTACGAGAGAACAAGAGGAGTCAGTCGACCAGGAGGGAGAAGTGTATTCTCACAGTACAAGTCAAGCAAGTCCCTGCCAATCGCTCTTACGAAAAGGCTGCGGGGTAATTATTCAGACAACTCCACGAGCAGGCGTCGGCGACAGGGGGAACCAATCAGCTATGAGGAATAATCGATAGCCACGGCGCGCTCTCATGACAACAGCGTGAAGGTGCATTCGGAGGGCTTTCTGTAAGATGAGTAATCGTGGAATCGGTGCGCTCTCAACAACTTGACTGTCAGTTGAGTACATCAAATAATATTTTGTGTATCCTTTACATAAGGTATGCTTGCCTTAATTAAGACAGAAAGAATTAGCGAAAAAATAATTACTACTTTAGTAGTTGTTATTTTTTACGATGAGGTTTTTACAGGCAGCTAGTAAAAGGCGAATTCGTGCATGAATTAAATATCCTAATTTATATGCTGCACAGTATTTGATATTAATACTGCACCCATGTAATACTTTACAATCAAAAACGTATTTTAAATTTCGGGTAATATTCGCCGAAGTATGCATGATTAATTAGTGAAATACTGGCGGTTAGTTATATTGATCGGATTATCTCTAATGCTGTTTGAACATCAGTGATTCGGGACAAATCTTAAACAAATCTCCAATACCATGCAGTCTAATAATGCTACATGGTGTCTACAATCTGTGATGTTTTGTATTTCAGGTAAAAATGACCTCGAAAAAAAACTCATGTGTTAGATCGACTTTGCATTGCAATATTGTAACAGGCCACGCATTAATTTAGCCTGAACGTTCTTTAATCTTGCCTACTATTCGGGAAGCGAAGTCCAGTGGTTTTCTTTCTTAACTGTTCAGTTTTTTGTAAAACTAAATAATTTGAAAGTAGTCATTTTTATGGTAACTCTTATCACTTACCAGCTGTCGAGTGGTACACATATTTATCAGAGCATTTGCCGTCTCATAAGGCCCATAAGTCAAAATTCTTAAGCTCTACTGGGCGGTCTAATGTCTTTGCAGGTTGTCGGAACTTTTGATATTTATTCGTCTTCAAGGAAACTGGGATTCTTTGAAACTTGTTTTTAGATACTTTAAGTTAAAAGTGCTTTCCCCCGACAGAGGGACACGGTAAATAACTTGGTATTTAAGATAGGCGAGTCTGGTCCCCTTTCCGCCAACTGTGGCATCATAGCAGCTGGACTATCAGGTACAAACAATTGCCCAGGATTCCTTCAGGTCCTGCTCCTGGCGTCCACTGCAATTAAAAAAGGAAACATATCCTTTCCGATCTCTTTGAAAGTTCGATTACCACGCATGCTTTCCATTTTTGTAGGATTCCACGGACTTTTGGAGCTTATGGCAATGCTACATTGACGAACCGCCGAATTCCCGTGAATCTTCAGCCTCTGGGTGCCGCAGCCTACAGTCTTTCTTTGAATTTTCTCCGGAAGAATCCATTAAACTGTATCAGAGCTTTGGAATCTGCCAAACAAGCCAAATAACGGAGTCGAGAGAAAAAATGGGGAAAAGTAGATCCGTGTTCTTTATCGTCTACAGAGGCTCGGCTTCTCACGAAGTAAAGTCCTTATACGAGAAAGTAAAAGCCGTTTTTTTTGCGGAACGTTTTGTCGTGGAAATTACACCAATTAATTGTCTAATATAAAATGCTCCGGGGCATTTAAATAATGGTTAATAAATCGTAACTCTCTATACGCTTTAAAGTTATGTATTTAAAAGAAGACTGACAGGAGGGATATATTTTCCTTTATGCGGAGATATCGCCAGAAGTTTCGTTTTTTTCCTCCCAATACCAGGTCTAACAGTCGCGACCCAAGGCAGGGCAGGACAGATGAGTTCCGTTAGCGGTCAGGTGAACGGTCATCAATGAGTGTCAATATCTCCTGACCTCAACCGGCGAGACAACGAGCTCGTGGCTCAATGATTAGATCGTTAGATTCTGATCAAAAAGGTCGCGAGTTCAAGGCTCGGGTTGGACACCACTTAGGTCTGGGAATGACTGGCTGATTATGGCTTTTATCCCAGAAATGGTCATTCCAGTCTCCCTTGTATTTGCCGGCAATACTACCATTTCAGAAATTGTTAACCTCTTTCTATTGCATGCTAGACACTTCCCTGACCATGGAAAGCTGTCCTTTTGCGCATCGCAGCAATAAATTACATAATTATCTACGTCTGAACCACATGTAGGAATCAAGATTCTGCTGGAAGATTAATAAGCAAACACAGCTCGGTCGCTTTTGAGACAGAAACAGAGCCCCTGTAGTCCGTCTCGCAATCATGTAAGGTGTTCTAACCTTTTCCCATCATGGGAGTGTGTGTTCGTAGAGAGGTAATAGACTATTGGCTTTCCATTCACCCTAGGCAAACTGACTGCTCTTAAACTCTCAAGAAGAAAGCATATATCTGTTGGTCAATCTCTTACATTATCGTTTTTAAATTACAGTAATTTGTTTTACCTCTTATAGTGCCTACTTGCCCTGAAGAACCACTCAAAGGTGGGCGTTTTCGAGAGGACAGAAGTCGCTCGTATAGGCAATATGCACTACCAATTGGAGAGTCTTCTGTCAAATCGGACCGACAAAGAATCCTCAGCCGCGTTTCCCTTCCTAGACGGGGCTATTATGACGCTAAAAAATCGTAACGCATCGCTCAATGTACTCAAAGAGGTCCTTGCCAGCAGCCAAAAGCATTTGGAGGCCAGTGCTTGTTTTTCTATATGCGAGGATTTGAGTATCTGTCCTGGTGAGCTGCTGAGACGTTGTGGTATATACCCAATGTCTCTGCCTACAAGCGAGGAGGAAGATGTAAATCGGCTTATCGAAAAGCTCGGCCTCTCAAAGAAAGTAACGTCAGAAGCGCCAGCCTTGGTAGAGATGACGTCGAAAGAGGTCATCGGTAACTGTACGGTTTCCTTTTCTTACAACCTAAAACTTCATTCATATTTTAGCCATATCGCGACTTCAACGCTTCGGCCTAGGAGACACTCCAGAGGCTAATGCATTGTCCATGACCATAATTTGCGGGCTTCATGGTAGTCACATGGTATTGATACGTTTTCCGTTGGATTCTATTTAACCTACACAATGATTGATTATTAAATGTCTCATTTAGCAAAGGATTAAGTGTGCAAATACAAACTTAGTTTAAGGGAATTTTATTGAACACGCATATCTACGGCAGGCAACTGAATCTATGAATTAAGCAGCCTAGTGTACAGAAAAATGAAAATTCGGACGCATCTATATGATCTTAGACCTTTGTTTTGCGGAGTGAGCCATTGGCTCGTTGGCGTTCATCAATCATATTATAGAAATAGAATAATAAAGGTTGGGAGCAACCCTCCGGTCAACACTAAGAAAATGAGCAGTTCTCAAATACTCCTGTTCACATGCATTCTTCTTCCTTGCTTTTTGAAAAATAAGGAAGGGAAACCACATTGGAAGAACAAGTGAATACTTTATATTTCTAGAAAACAAAATATAATGTTTTATAAACCATAAATCGGGCGTCAGTGCTCGAAAATTGGCGAGAATGTTTCATGGAAATTTAAAAAGTAGGCCAACGCTTATCAAAGAAAAAATTAATTAACGATCATCCTGTAAGAAACAAAACAGCATATTAACTTTTAAGCTGGAAACGACGTTATAAAATGTCCCATTCGAGCCACCCTTTGGGCTATCCCACGTTAAATAAAAGGAAGTAGAGCTTTCCGACGAAGGGATATTATTTAAAAATCTGCTATTTATATCCCGACGTTAAATGAAAGCAGTCATTGTCTTAATTCTTGTATAGCTTTATCAGCCGCCATTTGCACAATTTAGCTATGTTGTCAAGGTCTTCTGTAGATAAGCTACCGTTTTTCTGCTTCCAACTAAAAAAACCTGAAATTGTTCCATAGGTATGATTTTGCAACTAACATCTGAATTTAAGGGCAACAAAAGTTACTTTAAATTCGACGTAAAATGCTAGTAACTGAAAGGAAACAGATGTTTCAGGCTTTTGTGTATACGTATCTGGATCAAATCTTACTTTGGGCGTTCTGCCTATTGAAGTCAACTGATTCACGTGGGGCTGTTTGTGTGTCACCACTGCTTTTATCCTGCATAAACATGTTATCGTCAAACTGAGCGAGGCTTCCTGCAACTTTTATTTAAATCAGAGACCCTACTTAATCTACGGGAAATATAAACTGGATGCAGGTATCCGATAACGGCACAAATTCGTAAATTTACAGGCAGTGCCTTCGAGGGGGAACGCTTTATGTAAACAACTTTGCTAATGGGTCTAGTGTTCCTGAGAACAAAAGTTTACGTCTCAAAACTTTTCGGTACCTAGGGGCGCTGTGCGATTCGAGGTCTCTCTGTAAACATTCGCACCGAGAACACCGTGCTTCAGCTGATGTAGCATTGCAAGCGATTTTACAAGATAATTTGATCTCCCAGACGGTTAATGCATGTACTCACTACTTCCTACGTATACAGTAGTACAGGTCTTGCACGAAACTTTCTTGCTGACCCTCGACCGACCGTTCCTTGTTCTGGCTCAGACCGAGGAAGGTTCAGTTGACAGTTACATTATTTGTTATTCAGATATTGGTCCTAACTTATCTCAGCCTACTTTGGTTTCTGCAAGTCCCCATACAGACATTTTGGGCACAAGCAAAACAGTGACTGTTTTCGAACTCACACGGACAATCTGAATGTGCGCATCCTTATTCTTCACAGCATGTCCACAGATTAACATTCGCGCCATCGGTTTATCTGTGAGTAGGACCACGATACTTTCCCATCCAGCCTGGGGACGGTTAAAAGGTTGATTAACTGAGGCTTGATTAGGTAATAGATGACTGCTGGTCTGCACATGAACAGGCATTGAAACTTTATTTCCGACTGACGGAAGGCACAATACTCTGATTTGCTTCAACATGTACCCATAGAATATTTTAGTAACTACCTTCTGCTCTCCATCAATGCTTCTATTTTGGTACTCGTTGGAAAGGAAAGTAGGCAACTTACACCTGCGTTCGCATACTACAACTGTCAGCTATGCGGAACGCGTCCAGTGTCCCGATGTAGCTTTGCTCGTGTATCAGACATCGACTGTTTGGTAAGAATGACTTACATGGCCCCCTAAACAGGGCATGAGGACAGGAATCCCACGCACTGCAGGCGTCTTTGGACCAAATTTCAGCGACAATAGGTTAAGGTTTATGGGGAGTGTTAGTGATAAGTCAAGAGTAATGTTTATAGTTAAGGTTAGCGTTACGGTAAGTTAGCGTTTATTTTAGGGCTAGGACTAGAGCTAATATTAACTGTAGGGTTAGAGATTAGGGTAGGACTAGGATTAAGATCAAGGCTATTCGTTGATGAACGTTCACCTGACCGCTAACGGAACTCCTCCGCCCCACTCTGTCTTGGGTCTTGCTAGGGGCCGTAACAACTGGTAATACTAGGCAGATGATATTACCGGTAAAGACAAGGGAGACTGAAATGTTAATTTCTGGCCTATTAGCCATCATCAGCTGGTCATACCCGGATCCAAGTGATGTCCCATTCGAGCCTCGAACTCGCGACCTTTTTTTCGATCAGATTCAAACGCCCTTACCATGGAGCCACGTGCTCGTTGACTCGCCGGTTTAGGTCAGGAGATCTTACCTTTTCCTGTACTACTATTATTTGACCCTGATCGAAAAAAGGTCACGAGTTCGAGGCTCGAATGGGACATCACTTGGATCCGGGTATGACTGGCTGACGACAGCTAGTAAGCCAGAAGCCAGTAAGCCATTCCAGTCTCCCTTGTCTTTGCCGGCAATAGTATCTGCCTATGAAGGCTATTGTTTGGATTTGCGTTAGGTTTGATGTTAGAGCAGGGCCATCTTTATTACATAAGTGGAGCATTTATATTTCCGTGTCTTGTTTAGGGAGAAGTAATCCTCACTAACTTTATTTTAGCGGTAAATGTAGTAGTATTTATTCCTTTAAAAATGGCACAAGTGCGAAAGACCCACCAAGTGGACGTAAGAGGATGAAAAAATTTTGCTTATCCATCTTAGTATTCGGGTTTGCAAAGGCAGCACCGTTTTGCTTGTTTTAAGTAGTGTAAGTCATGCCTCCACTCGTGCTGGCAAGTTTCTTCTAGATAGTTAGTCTAGTGCTCTCACACAATACCCTCAATGACAGCCTGAAATCAGGCCTGTCATCACAGTTCCCGGGATTTTATCTTCATATTAGCTTTTAGGTATGAATTATGCGTACAGACGGCAGTCCAGTAGCTTTATCAAATAGCCTTAAGGAGTTTTTTTTAAAAAAATGTATGTCATAATATTTGTCTGATATGTTACCGGTATCTGTCCCGGGAAACCCTTTGAGGTAGGAGACTAGCACAACGACTTGTAACGATTATATTATTTAAAATGAAAGCGCTGAGGCATGGGTATGTCTCTCTGGCAAGTGTTCCATGACTCAGGCTACTTTCTTCAAATGTTTGGACAATGGTATATGGCCTTTATTTGCAGAATTTCTTTTGAATTCGACTACTGAGTGTACTGCGACATGCGCATTTTTAATGGGGGCAGACAATAAAAACGTACGTATATGAAATCGCTTAAGCGCACTGACACTTGATAGTCCAACGGTATCATAAGTTGATGCTTGACTGATTTAACACTCTCAGTTGTATTGGGCTATATGGCTTACTGGCTAGTTTTTGATCTCGCCCCCTTCGTAAAAAGTTTCTTATTTCTACTTTCCTTCATTGTGAACTAATGTGCTGTATGCGCCTGTTTTCTTACAAGGCGGAAGTTTCTTCGAACGTCCAAAGACTCAGTCACAATGAAAATCAGTGGATTGTTATTTCTCCCAAATCCCTAACAGATGTTCGAGCTGATGTGGAGGCATCAATAGAGAAGAGTATAAGCCTAAGAGAAGAATACATAACAGATCGCAGACACCTTCGCTATCTTCTCGTAGCTCCAGAGTTTGTGTCTCCAATCGAACTTTTTAATGAAATCGCAGCTATCTATGCTGGCGAAACGAAAGCCACAGCTTCCCTTAAAATCGGTAAGCATTAATCAAAGAAATATTTAGTCCAACAAGAAAAATATTTTTTGGCATGAAGTCACTAGCATTTCTCTGGAAAATATTTATTGTTTTAACCTTTTAATGTTAATTTGACTATGCTAATTTCCGTTTACTGTCACTGTTTTCATCGTACCGGAAATTGGCAGCTCACGAACGTCACCTGACTAGGAAATGTCCGCTGTTTTGATAGTTAATTAAGAAATCAGCAAACGTACTTTTCCGAACCAGTTAGTTATCAGCGAAAAATAAAAATTTAACGAGCTCGTACGTTTGAATTGAGACTGGCTCCAACTGAAAACCTCCTGACTAAGAAAGAATCTATACGTTTAGACTTTTCTTATTAAAAATAAAAAGTCGTGGAAACCTGCGTTCAGATATAACTGCTGACCAAACATCTTCCAGGCCCTTCGGCTATACACGCGTAGTGCCTAACGCACAAATTCTTCTCTGTATGATTTTGGCAAGCCTGTCTGCCCTGACCTAGATTTTACGCTGCCGTAGCCTACTGAATTAGGGCTTAGTTTGGATTGAATGGCCCTGCGGCCCAGACACTCCTGACAATTCCAGTTGGAGCTATATCCAGAGGTCGACTGGACTAAGGAAATGGATGAATGAATGCCGGCCTGTGTTTTGTATGCTCATTAGCAGTTCTTTATTACGCTTGCTCTGACAACGATCCACACGGTAGATGCAACGTAGCCAACGTGTACTCAAATTAGGATAAAATATCCGTTTACCGAGCTCGGCATATTTTGCGAAGCCCATAGCAAATGCAGCACACGGGAGTGTGGTTGTACACATAGGCGCATGCGACCCGCTGTGTCAACCACTTACGCCTGATCCCCCTCATCCGCTGACTGACCGGTTCGGACAGCAGACTAGCGCCTGGGAGAGTGGACAGAGAATGAGATCGATTCTGAAGGCTCCATCCCCTTGGAATTTCAGCGAATATTTCTCACTGCAAACACTCTGACACTGTTTCAAACTATTACGCGACCCTCTCGGAACGAAAAAAAACAAGACTACAATGACGGCTTCTTGGAGAAGACTTTATGACAAGTACCCAGATGAGATCCGGGCCGACAACTTCTTGTTGCTATAACAACCTGGTAAATCGTG